TAAACCGATTCCTGAACATTTGAAGTATGCATTTTTGGGAGAGGATGAAACATTACTGGTCATCATATCATCACAACTCGCAGCAGAAGAAGGGGAGAAACTGATCCGGGTACTGAAGGATCACAAAACTGCCATAGCTTGGAGCATTGCATATATCAAAGGTATAAATCCAGCTACATGTATGCATAGGATTCTGCTGGAGGAAGGTGCAAAACCTACAAGGGAAGCTCAACGCCGTTTGAACCCACTCATGATGGAGGTCGTCAAGAAAGAGGTTATCAAGCTTCTTGATGTTGGCATTATATATCCTATCTCGGACAGCAAGTGGGTGAGCCATGTTCAAGTAGTTCCGAAGCGATCTGGAGTCACAGTTGTTAAGAATGAAGCTAGTGAGCTAGTGCCTACACGTGTGCAAAATAGTTGGAGAGTCTGTACAGACTACCGGAAGATAAACAGCACCACACGCAAGGATCACTTTCCAGTTCCATTCATTGATCAAATGTTAGAAAGGTTAGCTGGTCATTCTCATTATTGCTTTCTTGATGGCTATTCTGGATATAATCAAATTGCAGTTGCTCCGGAGGATCAAGAAAAGACGACTTTCACATGTCCATTTGGCACATTTGCATACCGGAGGATGCCGTTTGGACTTTGCAACGCCCCCGCCACATTTCAAAGATGTATGGTAAGTATCTTTTCTGATATGATTGAGAAAATAATTGAAGTGTTCATGGATGATTTTTCAGTTTATGGTGATTCTTTTGATACATGTCTACATAATCTGTCCCTAGTTTTAAAAAGTTGTCAAGAAACTAATCTGGTTTTAAATTGGGAAAAATGTCATTTCATGGTTTCACATGGATTAGTTTTAGGGTATATCATATCTGAAAATGGAATTGAAGTTGATAAATCTAAAGTAAAACTTGTTAGTTCTTTACCTCTCCCTACTACTGTCAGGGAGGTTCGTTCTTTTCTTGGACATGCAGGTTTCTATCGTAGGTTTATGAAAGACTTCTCAATGATTTCTAGACCCTTGTGCCGTTTGCTTCAAAAGGATGTAATATTTGATATGAATGAAGAGTGTGTGGTAGCATTCAACAAACTTAAGGAGTTGTTATCCACGGCTCCTATGATCATGCCACCAGATTGGAGTTTACCTTTTGAGTTAATGTGCGATGCTTCAGATTATGCTGTCGGTGCAGTTCTAGGACAACGTGTCAACAAAGTGCCACATGTCATCTATTATGCATCACGAACACTCAATGATGCACAGTTGAATTATTCAACAACAGAGAAGGAGCTTCTAGCTGTTGTATTTGCTTTAGAAAAATTTAGATCTTATCTAATTGGAACTAAAGTTATTGTGTTTTCTGACCATGCAGCTTTGAAGTATTTACTCACAAAAAAAGATGCAAAACCGCGACTCATTCGATGGATACTTCTGCTTCAAGAGTTTGACTTGGAGATCAAGGATAAGAAAGGGAGTGAGAATGTTGTAGCAGATCATCTTAGCAGACTTGTGCACTCAAACATAGAGGAAGATTTCATCCCTTTACGTGAGAGTTTTTCGGATGAGCAATTGTTTTCATTAAAGGTTACTGACCCTTGGTACGCAGATATTATCAATTACAAGGTCACTAAAAAGATTCCGGATGATTTTACACGTGCTCAGAAAGATAAGCTTGTCAAAACCGCCAAATACTACGAGTGGGATGATCCTTATTTGTGGAAATATTGCCCTGATCAATTGATTAGAAGGTGTGTCCCTGAATCTGAGTTTAAATCTATTCTAACTTTTTGTCATTCTTATGCATGTGGCGGCCATTTTGGAGCAAAAAGGACAGCCCTTAAGGTGTTAGAGAGTGGTTTTTATTGGCCTAGTTTGTTTAAGGATGTGTATGAGTTTTGTGCAACATGTGATCGTTGTCAACGAACAGGTAACTTGGGCCTAAGAAATCAAATGCCACAAACCTCTATTTTGATTGTTGAGATCTTTGATGTGTGGGGCATTGATTTCATGGGACCTTTTCCATCTTCAAATGGAAAATGAGCTTGGATTAGCTTGCTTGGTGCTAGCTAAGGTTCTTGATGATTTGTTTTCTTGAATGAAATTCTATGAGGGTCATATAGTGGGGAGCTAATGTTTTTCATGTTGCTACTTTTTCATGTTTTCTTTGTTTTGCTCGAGGACTATCAAAAGCTAAGTATGGGGGTATTTGATAAGCTCATATTTATATATATTTTATACCAAATTCACTTGTCTATTGTTAGTTAGTTCCTTATATTTTTGAGTTATTTACTTTGTTTTTGTGTTTTGTAGGATTTGTCAAGTAAAGAAAAGAAAAATAACACAAGTGGAATTTTAAGTAATAAATTCGTCAAAACTGCCTGTGCAGGTCAGCTGACTTTGGAAGCAAGTTTCGGACAGCTCAGAATGAATTAGAGAATGAGCCTTATATGCTGGAAAGCTACGGATGTCTATTTTCTGGAGCATTTTGCGGATTGTTAATATCATTTTTCTAGAAAAAGTTATGGCCGTTCTAACACTGAAAGGTTCCCAGGAGGTTGAGCAGTTTGTAACTGACAAAGAAGCATTGAAAGCAATAAATCCCATAAAACTAATAGCCAAAACTGATGCAGCCAAGAACAAGCCAGCAAACATCTATTCAAATATCAGAGGAAATGAAAAATTAAGTGAGAGTAATGGGCATAAAGGCTGCCCAAAGTGTTACAATTGTTTTAGCATTTCCTCCCACTTATTGTCATCACTAAATGGCTGTTAGTGGGGTGAGTTATGAAGAAAAAACTGTGGCAGCAGAAAAGAAGAAAAGACCTACAAGTTGCAGCAACAAAGAGGGGGAGAAAAGGTGTGAAAAAAAGATAGAAAAAAAAAGAAGCAAAGCAAGGGAAAAAGGCAAGGCTGCTGCGTTGGGGAAGGAAGGAAAGGAAGGAGGAAATCTTGGCATTCTCTTCTCTCGGTTTTATCTTCTCAAACTCATGTCTTTCTTTTGGTTTAATTTGAGAATTATGTGTAACTAATTTTTGGTAGTTAGGGGCTGTTTTGAAGCCCCTAATATGATTGCAAGTTTGTTATGACATTTCGTTTGAATTACTTTTACGAATGGATGAAAATTGGTTCACTACTTGTCTCATTGATGAATTCTTTATGTGTTTTCTATGGATCCACACTTAGTAAGCATATCTAGGATTCTAATGCTATGAATATATGTGTGCCTGCCCTTGTTGAATGAGGACCTACATATGTTCTAGAGTAGTACTTGTTAATTGCGATTAACATGTGAATCAATTTCTAGGATAAGTAAGACAACGCTAGTACTTACGATGCCTTATGATGACTCAAACTCTTTTCGTTCTTAATGATTTCTACTTGTTAAATCTATGAACACACCATTCGAGATTGCATGTTAGGGACTACGTTAAGTTGAAAACGCCATTCTCTTAACATACTACATAAGAAAGAGTAATATGTTGAGTTCTAACATTGAGCCAACTTGAGCATCTTCATCCAAAAATGAAAGGAATTTGAATGAAACATAACATGTTTGCATGATTATTTGGTGGTGGATAGCAATTCCCCTAACTCGTTTTTCTTAATTTGTGAACTACTTAAAAATCTGTCTCTGTCTTGTTTTTGTTCGATTTAATTTAAATATCAAATCAACTCCAAAAATCCCAAAATTTGTGTGAGTGTAGCTCTATGTGTCTAATATCTGCATATAAAATTTCGTAGACTTTAGATAAGTATAAGTCGGTCTAATAATTATTTTTCGGTGGCTAGTCAGTAGGGACAACAGCCCAGTTTTTGTGACATTTTAAGTAGTTAGATAAAACAATCTTCTGCAGGAAAGACCCTTATTTTCATATGCTACAATTGACAAATATTATTGTTAATAAGGAAAATTAATAGGACATTTGTGTGCTACTTTGTGGTGTGCTTTTAATCCTATCACTATACATTCCCAAAGGGCCTAAAAAAAGTGAAACGTATAAACCACCTTCTAACCCAAGGCCTAACATCCATCTATATACGTAGTACCCTATTTGATGAAACTCTTATTTACCATATTAGAATGTGAGCATTCAACCCAAAAACAATTTGCGACAGGTCGAGAGGCCCAAGATAATGAAAACATTTATGCAAGTCTTTCATTCCCCGACATGGGATTCACACCCTCAACAGGAATGTATGTATTTTTAATCATTTGTCTCGTCGATTACACACACCAGGACTTCCCGCTTTGAAATTATTTCTTCCTAAAACAATCCATACTATTTTCTGTACACAGAAACAAAAAAGTATTGTTTTCTTCTCGTATATGTAAACAGGGACATCATCTAAATCTTCCATTAAAACTCAAAAACAGAAATTACAATCTCCTTTCTGCAACTTCATTTATTTATTTAAGGTTTGTCTTCACTATTCCGAACTACTGGTAGTCCAACTTTTTATCCATTAGATTGGCAAGTAAGAAAAATAGTTATTTCCTCAATTCAATCACAACGTTTCATTTCTCATACTACTAATACTTTGATGAAAAAAAAAAATGATTTACTTGATCAAAGCATAAAATTGAAGTAGAGAAAGCCACACACACCAGAAACGGTCTCCTCGAAGCATTTTATCGTGGTGGGAAGTGAAAACGAGAAATTTATGGCCATGGGATGCAAGTTCGACAGCCGCGTCGACGATCAGTCTTTCAGCTCCACCTACCCATCACACTAACAACATAAAAAGCTCAATCCCATAAACTCCTTCACAATTTTCAAAAACAACAGAAGGAAAGGAGAAGAAGAAGAAGTTACCGATGCCCAAATCTGGATGAATGATTGCAACGTTCAACTTGGAGTCTCCTTTCTTCTCCGCCATTTTTTTCAGCTCCTCCCTTCTCCCCAATTCCCTGCAGAATTCTCGGTCTCAAAAGGTGAAACCTTTTCAAACATGTTGGGCCGAAACGGGTCGGGTGTGACCTAAACTGTGTGATTATAAAACCATTTGAAATGGGTTTTTGCATAAATATAGCACCCAAGTTTACAGTTTCGGGCCAAAGCAGTCGTCTTTCGCGGTTTCTCCCCTCTGAATCTGATTCTCCCAAACAGAACAGATGAGAGAGTTTGTGACGAAGGAAGAAAAATGGGTGGAGAAGAAAGAGCGGACCCACCAGGCCCGAAGGTCCTCCGTCTCCTCTATTTCGTCGGCGCCGGATGTAAGTCATAATCTTTCAGATTTCACAATTTAATTTGGTTTCTAGAGAGAGAAAGTGTTCTTCTTCCTTTTTTAGAGAGAGAGAGTGTGTGTTGTAATTTGAAGTTTTGGCTGATTTTTTTGTGTGTAGTTATTTGCACCGTTGGAATCAGTAAGTAGCGCGAGATGCAGCGCAAGTCCATGGCTTTACAGCAACAGCAGCAGCTCCCCGAAAATGCTGCAAATGCCCTTGAGTGATGTCAGGTTTTTGTTTGAAATTCTTGCTGAATGTGTGAAACAGTAACAATTTGAGTGATTTGTTCTGAAATTTTGCGTAAATATGAAATCTTGCTGTGTTTTGAGCCGGATTTTCGAATTTCGCCGCGAAATTTGGCAATCTGTCTCAGCTTTTAAGTTTATATGTGCTGCTCCTTGTGAACTCCAGTTAGAATGATCGAACTTTAGTAGTTTGGTTGTTGAATTTCACGACCGAATAGTAAACGAATTCGTATCCTTCGATGTATAAAATTGTACCGAATATGACTAATTCTCGGCATAATGCAAGAGCCTTTCTTTTCTGTCAATTTTTCTGGAGCTTATACTTTGATTCATGCAGTATGCAAACTTCCTCTGTGTATGCATGTCTATTGGACTGTTGAAAGATGAAGTTTTCGCCATTTGTTGCTCGGTGAATAATGGTAGGGAATAGTTCAGGCAATCCCATAGAAATACCACAGCAATGCATGGTTCTAGTTTTTCACAGTCGACGATCATACATTGCACTATATTAAAACGTTGGGTGGAGGCACAACTCGTAGTCTTGAAAAATTGGATTTTATGTTTGTGGACTTTTTATTTGTGAACATGCTTTGATGTTAGACGTTAAACCATCTTCGAATATGTGAACAACGGGAATGCTATAAGACTATTAGTGAACTTAAAACCTAGTGATAGCACCAAAAGAGGCAATTTGCTCGTTTAACTGTTCTCGGATGATTATGCGCTAATCTTTTCAAGTTTAACTTCTAATTTCACAAAATGTACAGTGTACTATGAGGCCGTTACTCTACTAAGTTCTGCAAGCTTCACGTAACGAAGGCTACATGTAATGCTACTTCTCTTCAAAACTTTCAGTGTATTTCTGCAGAAAACTGTCAAAATCGGTTCTGTTATAAGAGTGGAGTTTGTTAAAAACAGAGGGTCTGCAACTGCTTTGAGATAAAATAGTTTAGCCAATACTGATTGTTCAGATGTTTGAGAAGTTACCTACCAAACATGTTTTTGAGTTTTAAAAATTTAAATCAAAACATGAGTTTTTAAGAAACTAAATTTTTGGTGTCCAATTCTCAAATAAGATACCAAACGGCCCCTAAAATTCCTTTCAAGCCTTGGTTTTTCAAGGATATGACCTTTTTTATGGACAATAAGGACATGACATGTTTGAATGTCTAAGGAAGTTGGATAATAAATTCAAGTTACACTCAAACTGATAAGAAAAACCATAAGAGCGTGTTTACATACGTGGAATCAAAATAAGCAAGAATCTCGTTACAAGGAAATCAACGTGAGAAAGAAATATAAAGGGCATTCTCATGTTTACTAACTATCAAGAATCAGAATAATAATAAAGTTGAATCTCAACAAAGTATTTACGAACTATTAGGAATCGGTATAAAAACTAAATTGAATACTAAAACGTTTTTGGTAAAAATAAATTTTCCTTTTCATCACAAGAAAAAAGTGAAAGGACAGTTCTCGTTTAAAATAGTTTGTGAAATGAGCTCAGACGATTGTCCATTTTTGGAACAAAAATGGACTTGAGCATGTGCAATTGCTGGCATCATAATGTTACACTTCCGGCGTATGACTGCATCAATCAGACAAAAAAAGAAGTCAAACAAACAAACATACAAGATTGTTCCTCACTCTCGGCGATGATCGGTTTGTGCACTAGTATAAGTTTATTGTGTTCATTGTTCTTTTGACAAATTTATATTGGTGCACTTGTGCTTGCTGAATTGTTTGTAAAAATTCATGCTAAATGTCTTGATTATTGGAGCTATATACCCAATTGACACATTTATACTTATTTATTATAATTCATGAAATATCGCTATTGTTTTTTGTCAAAAAAAAAAACATACAAGATTGTGGGTCATTGGATTTCAAGTTAATTAAATGGGTAAATCTCAGTTTACTACCCTCATGTTTCGTGGTTTTCAACATTTAGTAAATCAAATTTTTTTCGTCTCAGAGTCATATCTAAAGTGTTAATTTTAGAACAGTCTCATACATCCGTTAGTCAAACGGTTAAGTTTGCCATTAACTAATGACGTGGCGCTTATGTGGACAATAACTGAACGCCACGTGTCATTAAAGGACCGCGTGGATTTTTTTTAGAAGGGATTAAAATTTTCAAAATTAAAAAAAAAAAAAAAAAATCCGTCTTCCACCTCCCTCGTCCCCCCGCACCCTCTCCCTCCCTTATCTTTTCTGCAACCTGCACCACCCTCCCTTCTCTCCTCCTTCCTCCCTTATCCCTCCATTCTCTCATCTGCACCAACCCACCATGTCGCGGTTCTCGATCTCGCCTTGCTGACCGGTTCTCGATCTCGCCGATCATGTCCCCAAACACCACAGAAAATTTTCTGATGGGTTCTCTTCGTCGCCATTGACAATGTTGGATTTTCACTGCTTGCTTTACATTCTGATTCTTTGCATTCCCAAAGCCGCTGTGTTCGCCGTCATCGCCGCCACCGAATTTGACTTCGGCACCTTGACTCTGAGCAGCTTGAATCTCATTGGCGATGCCCACCGGAGCAATTGGAGTGTGCGGCTCACCCGCGACCTCGGCCGTTCCCAACTCCGGCGCCGGCCACGTTTTATATTCCAAACCCATTCGCTTCTGCCAGCCTTCATCCCAGTCCCGACGAACTTGTCATGAACCACTTAATGACACGTGGCTTCCAATCATTATCCATATAGGCGTCTCGTTATCAATTAACGGCAGATTTAACAATTTGATTAACGGATGTACGAGACTGTCTCAAAATTAACACTTTAGGTATGATTTTGGGACGAAAAAAACTTGATGTACTAAATATTGAAAACCACGAATTATAAGGGTAGTAAACTAAGATTTATCCAAATAAAATATTCATCATACTCATCATACGCACATTGACCTTTTGAAACACACAATTCTGTTGGCAAGCTATTTTTCAAAGGAAAACTAATGAAAAAAACTTGAAGACTTTGAATTTTAACGATGAGGACAAAATAAAGGGTATAATGAATAGTATCAAGATTGACTTTTAATGTAAAAATGTGATTTTTTTTGTTAAAATAAACAGTACCGGATGTTTTTCGTTAAAGTTCTCATCTTTCAAAATGTTCTGCCCTTTCATGCAAACATTGAGCTTAAGTTTGGTGCAAGCGTGCAGCTACAACCTCAAACGCTCATGACGTCGTTGAATTTGAATTAAAACCAGTATAATTACCAAACTATCTATGTTCTAAAAAAATTTATTTATTTGCTAGGTCATAACAATTTCCACAACAACATATACTTATAAATTAATTTATTTGCTAGGTAATAACAATTTCCACAACAACATATACTTATAAATTATAGAAACTTTTGACCTCTTTATAATATAAACCATAATTTGTTTGCCCCTTTTTCACCTCTTTAAAACCTGATTTTTTTTTTTTTTTCCTTAAAAAAGACTTCTTCCGTTGCAATTTCGCTTTACAATTAAGCATTTCTCCAAACTGCTACGCAGACTTTAATTGCCCTACCTGTTATTGTTTTGGTCATCATCTCCAAATTGCTATAAATACACCCCAACTCTCAGAATGCAATTCTAACCTCCCACCAGGGAATCTAATTCCTCCAAAAGGAGAGTTGACTTCCATTTTTCATGTGGCCACACAGTCTTGATTTATCCACATTTTAATACAAACAAGAATGATTCGTAATTAGAATTAAACACTTTATTTTCATTCCGATTACGGATGTATAAACACATCATTAAAGTCTTGTTCAATACAAAACCATTAACCGCGAACTCTACTTAATTGTTACTGATCAACTATATAAAGATCCATTTACCGCAAGGGGTGCCAAAAGTAGGGCTAGAGATTGGAGTTAAGTTGTAACAAGGTAACCGTACTTGAAAGTGAGGCTGCTTATTTAGTACCTTTTCGACTATGTGCTTAGGCGAGTACTTTGCAAATCTTAAGCGATTGAGGCTAAATGTGTGAGAAATTCAAATGGAACTAAAACTGGACTACACAAGATTATGAAGGGTAGTGCTATCCACACCCATTTTCACTTCACACATCCCTCTCAATTTTCAGCCGGTCAGATCGAATGAATTTACGAAAATCAATGGCCAAAATTAACAAGGATGTGTGAGACCTAAAAACGGATGTGTGAGTAGCACTTTCATATTATGAAGGCATGCATGAGGAGTTTGTAAATGACTCATTCCAGCTAGTGAAGAATATCCATCTTATATGCTTTTGTAATGCTTGTCAATTTCATTTCTAATTATCTCTATCTAAAATGTGTAGTTCACTTCTTACTAACTTGACATCAATCTGTTTAAAACTTGAAGGCTTCTCGCTCAAACATATCATTCAGTTACTAATTTCTACACTAATTTCCCTCTTTAGTGCCGTGATCATAGATTCATAAATATAATGTATATAACCAGATGATGAGTTCAAACTCAAGCGTAGGTGCCTTTTTTTCCAGAAAAAAAAAGGTGCACCAGTTTCCTCAACTACTAGAGTTTGTTGTGTTGATCTTTATGATTTATCTGAGAAGAAGTTGGCTAGGTCTACGATGGTTTTCAAATGTTGTTATACTGTTTGATAGTTGTTAGCTTCACTTTCCATTCTGCTGTAATTATGAAATTCATACTTCCCATGTAAATAGGGTTTACAGGCCCTGAATGTAATCTGAAAACTGTTATAAACAGAAGCAAGCCATCCTTGTGAGGGTATGCAATTGAAGTGAAAAACCTCCAGTCTACGTTCTAAAACTGTACCTGCTGCAAACTAGACTGAAAAGAAACTTACATACTCTTCATAGGATAACTAAACCAAGTTGTCGCCAATCACAAATTTTCCAATTTTTTTCGATTTTTATTTGACCAAAAAATTTGATTTCACACCAGCCCCAAATGGCAATAAAATTACTAGAAACATTACTACCAAAACTGAAAACATCTCTCCATCTTCTTACACGTAGCAATGTACGTGCCCTACTGTCATTCCAACACCGTTTCTTCTTTTGCATAAAACCCACTACCCATTCCCATTACGTCCCAATAGACTACCCATTTTAGCAGCATCAAAACCAAATAACCAAAAACCTCCAAACCCAATTTCATCAACCTTCGACAAAAAATTCTAAAAGCACCACAATGAACAGCTTCACCAGCTTTTACGAGACGTGGTTTGAGCAGCTCCACCACCTAGTCTACCAGCTCTCCACTTGTCCCATACCTCCCACCAACCCCGACCAACACCACCACCTCCTCCACGTTGTCCAGAAAGTCATGGCCCACTATGCCGAGTACTACCGTGTCAAGTCTCTTGCCACGGAGCGCGACACCCTCTCCGTCTTTGTTGCTCCCTGGGCCACCACCCTCGAGCGCTCCCTCTACTGGATTGGCGGCTGGCGCCCCACAACTGCCTTCCACCTCATCTACTCCGAGTCCTCCATCCACTTTGAGGCTCACATCTTCGACATCCTCCAGGGCAACGGCACCGGTGACCTCGGGGACCTCACCCCCTACCAGTTCGGCCGCGTCAGCGAACTCCAATGCGAAACTGTAAGTATATAAAGTCCAATGCGAAACTTTATACATATAAAACTGTAATTATATGTAAGAGGAATGCTGAGGACTAATTTTTTAGATTAAATTTGTAAATTATGTGAATTAATAAAAAATAAGCACATTAATTATCAACAATTACGGTATATAGTTTAAAAAATATTATAGGTAATCTCTCTTGTAGTATTCATATATATAAATCGCAACAATGACTAAAACTTTCTAAATTAGTTAAACCAAAAAAGGATTCTACAATATCAAGAAATTTTTCAGTATAACGGGAACATGGGTGGTACATGTTATTTTTTAAGTTATTAACTATTTAACACACATATCTCACTATTTGTACAGTGACATGTGTATACTATCTCATGTGCTGGTCACACTGAAAAATCTCTCTTACAATGTCTGCAGATAGCAACAATATTTTATTGATTTGTCAGTATAAATATGGAATTCGCACTTAATTCTTGTGATTTACAAAGGAAACTAGAAATTGTTATCAGCACTAATAATTTATTTTACACTCTTCATTCTCAAGAACGATACAGAAGATTGCATGATGACATTTTTGGACAGCTAAATAGCAGCTATTGGCGGGGTGAACAACGTAAACACTTAGTGTTCTAAATGTGATTTTGTAATATCTTTACATATGTGATTTTATAATAACTTTACATATTCTTATAAAGAAAAAATTGGAATCAACATGCGTAATGAAATGAGTAACTAGCTGCTTCATTATTTTGATGTAGGTGAAAGAGGGGAATGCGATATCGGAGCAGTTATCAGAGTGGCAAGCCGGGGCGTTTGAGATGATAGGCGCATGCACGAATCTGGATATGAATATGGGATCGTTGGTGAGTGTGTTGAAGACGGCGGATGATCTGCGGCTGAGGAAGGTGAGAAAAGTTGTGAAACTGCTGACTCCACAGCAGGCTGTGGAGTTCTTGATTGCAGCTGCCGAGTTGCAGTTTGGGGTCCGTGGTTGGGGGATGAATCAGGACCGTCGGCATGGGAATGTCTGATTTTCGGTTTTGGTAGATGGTGGTTAGTGATCGTTGGCGGAAGTAAATTGGGGTATACACTCTGGTTTGCTTGCAGTCTGGAGTACTATCAGCAGTATGTAGGTTGTTTAATGTTAAACCTTTTTGTTCAACAATATGGATAACTTTTGTGTTTTGTATCCTCCCATTAGTACCGTTGATCAATAAAGAATCGTATTTATTTTACCGTTGGATTAGGATGCTTTGAATTGAATCCTTATATATGTGGCAGAGAATTCAGCTACTAGAATCCTTTAATCATATTTTGTAGAGTGAAAATGTTATACTGATAGAGCCCCTTAGTATTATTGTTTAATGATGTTTCTTTTCACTTAGTGAAAAGTCTTAAGTTTAATTTTTGCTAAAAAAGAATTTGAACTCCATCATTGCTAACTTATTGTTGCGATAAGCTCATCCTTCTCTTAAGTTCAATTCTTGCTAAAACAGAATTTGAACACATCATTGATTGTCGTTTGTTAAAAAAAATATTAAACATGTTTTTTAATCATATATATAGATTCTTGCTAAAAAAGATTATATATTGCTAAAAAGGAATTTGAACACATCATTGATTGTCGTTTGTTATGAAAAATATTAAACATGTTGGACATGGTATTTGTAAATTACATAATGTGACACTGTTTATTATTAAAGTTGCATGACCAAGACCATAACTCTCTTGGTCATGAACTATGACGCCATCTGCGGGTGCGTTATGAACTATGAGTTTAACCATAACCAAGGAGAACTCTCTTGCGTTACAGTTACATAGAAATTTCGTTTTACCATTCTTAACGGTCTCTACAGGGCCCCCACTGTTGCACGCAATGCCAGGTTTATGAGAAGCCATTGCCTCCAGATCGTACAATGCCAAAGTGTTCATCCTACATTTTGAAATATCTTATCAATTTCATATTCCCCACAATATCTGACAACAGAACAAAATTATGTAATTTTCGCCTTTGGCGTTTAAAGGAAGCATAGGCATTGGGAGAGAAGTGCATTAGCAAGAGGTGATGAAGTTAAACTTGATTGGACGCTCTTGAAGAAATTAGGATTTCACCGTAAAATCAATTGGTAATATGGAGAGTAGTCTAATTTAGTTATAAGCTCTTGCAAGGTCCCTCGACTCCCTCTTTCCAAGCATGTAGGATTCATTTTCAACAGTACGCCCCCGCCCTCACGTACGATGAATTTAACACACTTGGACAACACAACAGGATGACGTGAAATGCGTGTGGCCATTTGGCCTCACACGTGGGACACCGATATCATGAAGAAATTGAGGTCCTATTGTAAAACCAATTTGGCAATATGAGAATAGCCCAACTTGCTCATGCAAGTCCCTCCTCCCATCAATGTGAGATTCATTCAACAACTCCTTCCCTTTCTGCTAGACTTGTGAGCTCCTCTAATTACTCAACATTTTCTCTCAAACGATTATCAAAGCCACCTAAAACATGATATATTATATTTATCATTCCCATACGTGCAGAAGATATCCAGCTCTACCAATCAATTAAGGAATGATACATGGGTATAGGGCGAAACTACGTAGGGACAAGGAGGGGCGGCCGCCCTGGAAATCTGCACGAAGAGTAAGAATTCCGCCCCTTTGTTCTTTTGAACTTTCCAGATTTCTGGGTTTGGTTGTGCAGCGGTGCTGCACTGGTGTGCTGATGACTGGTGTGTTTTAATTTTTGGAGAACGAAATCAGAAAAAAAAAAAAAAAAAAAAAAAAAGTTGCAGAGTGGCGGAACTTGCAAAAAAGATGAAGGCTTATCTATTTGATGTTCCCTACACCTACACGGCGTCATTTGACAAATGAAATTGGATTTAACTCTACCGACCTTTGTTTACCTTTTTTTTCGCTTAAAATTTGACCTACCTTTTTTTAACACTTCTGCCCCCACTTACCCTTTTTTCTCTTCTGACCCCACATTTTTTATGGTTTGTTTACCCCCTTTTTTTTTTCTTTATTTATTCTTGTAAGTTTTATTTTTCCTTTTATTTTTCTTTCTCCAGACCCCTGCCATATTTATCTTAAACAGGAAATTTAGTAAAAGGTCAATAAATTTTTTACTAATAAACCAGATATCCATGGTCGATTTTTATTTTAGACTTAATCAATGAAATATTTTTGTTAAATAGACATAGGTCAATGAGGAATGTTACATGAGTTTCAAGCCCATATAAATAGTTATAAAATTACTTTTTTGCCCCAAATTAAATCATAAAAGGTTTATGATCATCTCTCTCAAAAATCCTCTTTTATGTATGTGAAGATAACCCAAATGCCTCTCTCTCTCGTTGATGAATTAATACAAGCCATGAATCCATAACTAAAACTCAGCAATAAAAATCTCTCTCTCTCTCTCTCTCATTGATATATGAACATGAATCTATACTTGAAAGGCCATCAATAAAAATCTCTTCGGTTGTAGCAGTGGGCACGAAAATATCATTGCCGCCACTAAATTTGTCGTTCGACTGTTATATCTCATCGATTTGCTACTGAATTTCATTAATCCATGGCTAATCTCATTGCATCATTGGCTTGACAAGTGGTTCTCAATCGAGTTCATAATAACAATGAGAGATTAAGAGGGGAGAGTGTTGTTGATTGAATTCACACATAAAGAAGTGATGGAGGAAGGAGAAAGAATGGACAAATTAAATCAGTTTATTTTCAATTTGGGTCTTGTTTTTGGAACATGCAAGTTGATTTTTTTGGGTTTTTTTTTTGTTGGGTTAGAGGTTTGGGATGGAGAACAAAAGACAAATTGGTTTTCGACATGTTTTAATTGAAGCCCAAATCATATACTACATAAAAAACAGAACCAAAAAAAGCGGACACTGCATTGCAGTGTCTAAATCAAAATGTCAAAAAAAAAAAAAAATAGAGTCAAGAAATGAACACTACATTGCAGTGTCTGAATTCACATGTAAAAATAATAAAAAAACAGAACTAGGAAACGAATGCTGCATTGCAGTGTTTGAATCCAAATGTAAAAAATATAAAAACAGAACTAGGAAATGAACATTGCATTGCAGTGTCTGAATCCAAATGTATAAAAAAATAATAAAAAAAAAAACAAACAAAAAACCAAGAAATAGCCACTGCATTGCAATGTGTTTGAATCCAAATGTAAAAATAATGCAAAAACTGAATTAGGAAATGAACATTGCATTGCAATGCCTGAATTCAAATGTAAAAATCAATAGTCGCACAATGAGTGATGGAAAAAACAAAACTAGGAAATAGACATTGCAACGCAGCGTCTGAATCAAATGTGAAAAACAGAATCAGGAAACAGACACTGCATGAATTCGTATTGACCTATTCCAAAATATAAAAATATGAGAAAGAGTGTGTCAATTTAAGTGGGTGATAGCTATAGTGACAGATTTTGTAATTATTGTTTATTTTAAATGCATTTAAGTATTATAATACATAATTGACCTATTTATAATTAACATAAATATTGTTGATCTACTGTCAATATTGTAATTTTTTATTGAATTTATACAAAATTACCCTATTTTAAACTCTCCCGTTATATTATATTTAACTTTCAGTTCAGTTCAGGATTAAATTTTACTGGTGTTAATTATAGTATTTCTTTTAGTGGTATAAAATTATTAAATTACTATTTTTCTTATCGTGTAACAGGTTATCCACTTGTATACCTGGACCAACCTGTTATCTGAACAAGTGCTTATCGAGTTACTCAATAACGACCTGATTCGTTATTGTGTCGATCCGAAAATCCGTTAATTTCGTGTCGTGTCATGTTAGATTAACGGGTCTTATCAGAAATTGCCAGACCTAGTTGAACTTGCACTCTTTTGAATTTCGTACCTCTCTCGCGGCAAAGCCTGGCTTCGCCAGTAATCAATGTTAAATTAAAGCCAACGACTACGCCATTGAAGTTGAATTGATTCCTCTTGGTACGGGCCCAGACAAGGGTGGACCAGGGTAAACCAAACCTAAGGACCCAGCATAAGCTCATATAGAAATCCAACGTACGCATGGTTGTTCGGCGTCCACAGTAGGCAAAAGGCAACCCCATACAACACTGAGTGACGAACACATAAGAATCCCCAATATGACGGAACTTTTAATTTAAGACTAGATTTATAATCTCAAAACGTCTATAGACTAAACGGTCAGAAGCTATTGTTTATGTTAAACATAGAATTGCTAAAACTATGACACTTATTTCTTACAAGACCTGCATTATTTGGAACCCTGCTGAATAACTTTTGAGAGATCAAACGAGTATTTTATCCTCCAGTCAATCTAAATTTTCATTTCACCTCCCAAACACCATGTCATTCCAGTCTTCTACACAGTTATCACCCTATTTCTTTGGACTTGATGGTCTCTCTGTATATATTTTTCACATATTTCATGCAAAACGAAGTGGAAATATCTTCGCAAATAACCAAGGAAAATTTGAACACCCATGCATGGTTCTGATTCGGCTGCACGTCAGACAAGCGTATAAAACTGCTCATAAAGGGACATCTGTTACCGTAGGATAACAGCACAATAGTTCATTGCTATTTGGATTATGTACACTTTTTTTTTCTCATAAATAACAATTCTAGGCGTGACTATGGGTCCAAGCCTTCACCAAAAACTCTAGATATACGCTAATGTTTCATAATTTACCACGAAAAACACAAAAGAATGTCTTTTGACATCCAGATACTAATGTTAAATTGCAAGATCCGTAAAGCTCTGAACACGCAAATGAACCAAGGGAAAGCTTAATCACACAACCAGGTTATTACTGCATGCTTCTACTTGGTTATTGATAGCCTAACTAATATATAAACAGTCTTCAACAGCAACATAAGGTAATGAAGGAACACGCATACCATATAGAACTTGCCTGCAATTGTCAAGGAAGATTCAGCCAGATCAGGACCTTGAAGGCTTGAAGCACATCACCTTCAAGGGTACACACGAAGCA